CCCCAAAACCCCAAAACCCCAAAACCCCAAAACCCCAAAACCCCATTAACGATATTAATAATTGAAATTATTTTGTTAAATAGATGAATAGCACCAAGCGTAGGAAAAGTCTTTTTAGTTGCTGATTTGGAAGGAAGTCTAAAAAGAAGGTACTTCCTGAAGAGGAAACAGAAGGAAACCAGGAGTTTTAGACATCGTAATACTCTCATTGAGTCAAACTTGGCTAAGAATCACTCTAATCTTAATGAGATGCTATCCAAAAGAAACAATAGTACCATCCCAAGAAGAGGAATCAAAGCAAAATGTCTGCTTCCACCTTCGAAGGAATCAGATAAGAAAACCTTGATCTTGGATCTTGATGAAACTTGTGCTCACTCTTCGTTCAGTGAATTTAAAAATTCTAATTTTAAGCAGAGGATAGTTTATGAAGGCATTCCCTATACAATTCATGTTTTGAAAAGGCCTCATCTGCAAGAGTTTTTGAAGCGAATGTCAAAGTTGTACGAAATCATTTTCTACACAGCAAGCGTTAGAGAATATGCTGACCTCGTTTTAGATTATATCGATCCTGAGGACATCGGTTCTGCAAGACTCTTTAGAGAAGATTGAAGACATATCGAGGGCAGTTTTGTTAAAGACCTTAGTAATCTAGGAAGGGACTTAAAATAAAACAGTTATTATTGACAACTCACCTATTGCATATTGTCTGAATCCAAACAACGGACTTCCTATAAAGAGTTTTTATGATGATATAAATGACGAAGAATTACTACATATGATTCCTGTGCTTGAGCATCTAGATACTGTGGATAATATACAAGAATTTATAGAAGAGCAAATGCTAAATATTGCTTCAAACTGAAATTGGGTGGCTCCTTCTCCAAAACGCACTGCTTCGATAACAAAAGAGCCGACCAATGATGAAAAATCTATTACGAGAAATATGAAATATTCTAGCCCTGAAGTAGAAGATTTTAAGGAAAATATAGGAGCTTGTGATGATGAACTTAAACTAGAAGATATCAGTGAAGGAAACACCAACAACGACCAAGATTCAAAAGTATTAGAAAAGTATGACTTCAGTTCTCTTTCTAAGCCAAAGGGAATGCTTGCTAGATATAATGAACTCAGTGCTGTCAGGAGACCTACTGATGAGATCAAGGAAGCTACTGAAGATGCATATCAGATAGGCCAGGGAAGTCAGACAGAGGATAATTTCACCTCTGGTATTACTCCTAATCTCAAGCATCAGCACATTTCGAGCGAGAATTTGAGGTACAATCAAGTATCTTTGAAAAATACCATAGAACATAATCTCAAGACGAGGGTAAAATCTCCAGATGATGCCCAGTGTAAGTAGTTCACATGTATGACTCTAACCTGTTCTGTAGTTAGATTAAGCAAAATTGTGCAAAATTCTCTCAATGGATTGAATAACGAAAGAGTCTTGCATAAATGAGGGAAAATCCGGGAGAAAATGTCAAAAGATACTGACAAATAAACTTACTCAGAAAAGTTTAGTTGAGATACTATCCAACTCTGCTTCTACCAACATTGTTGGTGTTACAAGAAGTGTTGATGATAAAACCAAGAAGCATGAAAAGAGAGAATCTGTTATCCAAAATCTGCTTAAATAAAGATACAGGGAATAATAACTTAAATAGGGCAACTGAATCTGAAGCAGAGAGAGGCAAGGATGGCGAAGAGGAAAAGACTATTGAAGAGGATGTACCAACCAAGGTGAACTTTAATATTGATAACAAGCTGGCAAATTTTGATAAATTTGGTGCTTTTAAACCTCTATCAAAGGAACACACATATCAGAAGAATAAAAATAATCTAGATATAATGGAAATTAAACAAATAGAGACCTAATAGAATCAGAGCACCAACATTGTAGAGCTTGGAGCTTATAAAATCCAAGTCTAATTTTAATACTTTATTCAACATTTAAATCTTTCTAAGGGGTTTTGGGGTTTTGGGGTTTTGGGGTTTTGGGG